TGTGAAGCGAACTGCACGTTGTTGTCTTTTCTGTTTAGTTTTAAATGTTCCCATGCTTATTATAATTTGTCTTGAGCGCTTCGTTTCGGCACTCTTCATCTTCTTCTAAAGCTAAACATAATACTGTAGCTCTTAGCTAGCATACACGTGTCGACAGTGTGACTGTTAGCAGAAGCGCTAACATTGTAGCATTGTGTGTAACACAAATAACATTCTGGGTGGATGAAAGTGAGCTGATTATATTATTATTTTTATGAAACTTCGATGCAGATAATTTGTCTCGAGGACTTTTTATAATTGAGTTACTGGAATTATTGGAGGAATGGTTTCAGCTCTGAAACACCTGGTTTGAACCTGAGCTGACTGAACTCATGTTTCATCATGAAGGAACCTGGCTTTACCTCCTCTGGTTGATTTTCAGTCAACTGTAGCCATCTTTAAAGAGATGAAGTCTCTTTGGCCAGGTCCTCTGAAGGCTGAATTCATCCTCATACGTCACAGCGCCGCGACGGAGGACGTCCCAAACCAAGGACTCCTGATGCAGCCGACAAATACGTCCTTCCTTTGACCCGAATCGAAGGACAGGTCCGATGGATCCTTTCCGGACCACCATATCCCATAATGCATTGCGGCCCGACCGGAGATTTTTTTATGCTAGTAATGGTGGACGAAGCGAGAGAAAATAATACATTTTAAATAAAAATATGGTGATATAAAAATTTTTAAAATTTAGCGGTTGTAATTCTAATACTTTTATCATTTGTATGGACATGTTTTTAAATATTATTTTTGTCATAAAAAACGCAAAATAAACATGCACCTACAGCGGATCAATTAGTTCTTCAAATGATACTTTTAAGTTAATTTTATAGTTTTGTGATATTAATAATGCTAATGTATTGATAATTTTCTAGTTTTGATTTAAGTTTGCTTGTTTAGCGTCGTCACAGTTGCTAGGTGACAAGACGTATGCCGGGATGGAGGGGAGGCTAGACTGTCCAAATTCACAGCCTCTTTTTTTCCGGTCTTCCCGGTCTACCAAGGACCCGGCCCGCCGAGACCGGGTAGTCTGGGTCTTCCGGAGGACCCGGCCTGTCGTTTTGGACACAGCCATATTTGTGTCTTGAAATGACCTGTTTTCAAACAAACAGTTTGGGACGTCACAAACGGTACTCCCAACTGAGCCCAGGACAAACCTTTGTACTGCTGTTTTTACAACAGTCATGTGGAGCGTATGCCTGGGTTAATTTTATTTTTATTTTGATGGCAGTGTTCTAGCAAAATTGCCAAAGAAATTTGTAGTTTGTGAAAATAATTTCGCAATGGACTACTTTAGAAAGGTCTACCAGCAGGATTTACCCAAGGTCTTTTAGCTGAAGGAAACTTCTGTCCCTGTTGTTCCTCACAAATCTGCAGATGATGGTGAAGTAAGTGATGTGTTGTGTTTGACATGAACATGATTTGTTATTTAGCACAAACTAAAGTTAAACTCGCTGCTGTGAGGAGGCGAGGAGTTTAGTCTTTCTCCTCCCATAACGGCTGACTTTCCCTCATGTCCACGTGAAGCAACTACCAGTGCTCGGCTCCAGTGTGAACCGTGTTTTCACCAGGCCCTCGGGAAGCAGCAACAAATGTGTGTTGGTATCCCCGGCAACAAGATGCCTGACTTCAGTCTGTCCCTAACAAGGCCTCACGTCACCTGGGGTGGATGTACTGCATGCAGCCTGTTTATTACTGTAGTACTATTACCAGCTCCTTGTTCTTCGCTTTGTAGCAGCCATTTTCATGTCTCTGAAGTGCTGATATAAATGCCATGTTGGGAGGGTGGAGATGATATAAACAAAAGGTTGTCAGAGTGTTGCCAACAGCAGCTTATTTGTATAAACGTTATTCTGAAAAGAGCTCAAACAGGCAGAGCTGACCAGGGGTGGGATTTATAAAACTGGCGTACGCACAATTTGAGCCCAGAAACTTGTGTACGCCACTTTTCACACCAAGGTTGTGATTTATAAAATCCAAACTTGACATGAAAATGTGCCTCACAGCTCTGACCCATG